TGTGTGGCCTGCGACGTGGCCCTGGGTCAGGTCCCCGCTCCACACGTGAGCTGTGTGGCCTGCGACGTGGCCCTGGGCAGGTTCCTGAGCCGCTCTGGGTTCTGCTGCTGCTTGTGGGGAAGGTGAAGCCCCACACGCAGCCGTCCTGGGAAGAAGCATCCAGGCCTGCGGTGCGGCTATGTCCAGGGCGGACCTTGTGCAGAGCCCATGTTCTTAGGCAAGGGAGGAAAACCCAGACTTTCAAACAAAAAGAAAAACCCATCTTTGCTTCTACTGAAATCCAGTTTTTGAAGTTTTGAAGTTTTCGACCTAAAAACACTGAAAGGCTTCACCCTTGAGAGACGCAGCAGCCAGAGGAGTCTGTGCCCCTCAAGGCTACTGTGGGCAGGAAGCCCAGAGGGGTGGGGCCATGAGCCAGCACAGACCAGGCCCAAATGCGTGGGTGGCATGGGTGCGGGTGGCATGGGTGCAGGTGGTGTGGGTGTGGGTGACGTGGGCATGGGTGGCGAGGCCATGGGCAGTGTGGGCACAGGTGGCAAGGGCGTGGGTGACATGAGTGCAAGTGGTGTGGGTGGTGTGGGTACAAGTGGCGAGGGCGTGGGCAGCGTGGACATGGGTGGCGTGGGCGCCAGCGGCAAGAGCGTGGGTGGCGTGGGCGCCGGCGGCAAGAGCATGGGTGGCATGGGTGCGGGTGCTGCTTCCCCTCAGGGGAATCTCCACGATGCCTGAAACTCGAGCTCCTGGCCCGGAAAAGCGGTGGCCGCGGTCGGGGTGGCACACACGCACAGACCCCGGAGCTGATGGCCCGTCATGCCCACAGGCGCACATCTACTCCCTGGGGGCCACACTGAAGGCCGCCCTCGAGTACGTGGCAGAGCCCACACTGGAACTCAGGCTGAGCCAAGACCTCGAGGCGCTGCTGAGCCGGATGCAGGCGGAGGACCCCGGGGACCGGCCGGACCTCGAGGTAAGCAAGGCTGCCCTGGGCCACCCAGGTTGTGACCCTGACCTCACAGGCCCAGACACCGTGTGCTCACCCCACACACGCCCGGCAGCCTCCCCTGGGTTCCGTGACCACAGTCCAATGGCATTTTGCTTAAAGGAGGACTTGGTATTTTATTGTCCATTTTTGATATGAAAGGTCTTGCTTGTGACAAGGCTCCTGGTTCTCTGCAACCCGGATGTGCTGCCTTTTCATACTAGAAAATGGGCAAGACAGGCGCAGGCAGGCTGTGGGGACTGTCCCCAGGTCACCTTCAAAGGATCCGGCCCTGTCAGGTGGGCGGCCACGGGAGATGGCCCCTCCTCTGAGCCTTCCTGTCTGAGGCACTCACGTCCCCAGAGCATCATCGCGCTGTGTGAAGAGAAGCTTCAGCTCACGTCCTCCTGCCGCATATGCCGGAGCCTCTCTGCTGTGGGGAGGAGGGTCCTCTCCATCGAGTCCTTCGGAGCACTGCAGGGTGAGCTCTTGAACCCACACACATGCATCCTTGTGTGTGCACATATACCTGTGTACCATGTATACACACGTGCACATGCTGCACACGCATGCACACACACATGCACACATCCATGCACACACATACGCTGCACACATCCATGCACACACCCATGCACAGACACACTACACAGACACACTGCACACACACCCATGCAAACACACGCACATACCCCTGCATACAGACACATGCTGCACACACCCCTGCCCACACACATACTGCACACACACCCATGCACACACACACACTATACACACCCATGCACACACGCACACACCCACTCATGCATTCATACAGATCACACGCACTCGTGTACTCACACAGCCACACACAAGCGTTCAAATAGATCACATGTGCCCCGTACACATTCACACTTGCTCACAGTCACACACATGCAAATTCAGACATGCCTGTTCACATTGCACACGCCCACACCAGAATGCACACATTACATGCCCGCTGTCATGCCTACCACGTCCACTGTCTCACACGTGGTCAAACACGCGAACATGCTGGTCCTGTGCACACACCCGTTTCCACACTCTCATGTGTATTGATTGCGCCAGCCTTGCAGGCACCCATGCAGGCAGAGGTGACTCTGGGTCAGCTTCAGAAGTCCGTGGCATTGGTGCCGGGCACATGGGTGTTAGTCTCATGGGCATTTACATAAACGGACGTGTTGATGTTTCACAGCTGATTTTCACCTGCCCCCACCACGGGTGCCAGGCAGGCGCGTTACAGAGCTGCAGCTGCAGCATTTGGGGTGTTCGTGGCTCACGCGGATTCTGGCGTCTCTCAGGCCGCCTTTGAACAGAGGCTGTGTCTGTGGGGCCTCAGGAGGGTGGCCGGGGGCACAGTCCCGAGGAGCCTCACGGTGGCCGGCAGGGCCCTCCCTGCCGAGTGAGCACGTTTGCAGCTCAGGGTTTGTGCTGCTGCGGGAGGGGCTCAGTGTGGAGCAGGCAGTTTGTGCAGCGTGGAGCAGGCAGAACAGAGACACGCACAGCAGAGAGAGAGCAATGCCGTGTGTGGGAGGCGGCCACTGACGGCTGTAGCCACATCAAGTTCTTCCTGTGGGGACTCACGTGTGTAATCCTCGTGGAAAACGACGTGCCTTTGGGTGAGATAATTAGACAGTCCCCGGCTCCCGCAGGAAGCCCCAGCAGGAAGCCCCACCTGGCCTGGGGAGAGGCAGCCCCAGCCTCTAGTTAGCCAGGATGATGTGATGAGTGGGGCAGGTGAGGAAGGCGGGAGCCTCCTCCTGTGAGAGCCTGCGCTGGGGTCTGTGGTCAGGGGAGGGGAGGGGAGGGGCGCCCAGCAGCCGTGAGAGCCTGCACTGGGGTCTGTGATGGGGGAGGGAGGGGAGGGGTGCCTAGTGGTGGTCCAGCGGTGGTGAGAGCTTGTGCTGGGGTCTGTG